TATAAAGATTTTCAATTTATCAAGTGCACAGAATTGGGCTGTAAAATTGCAGTGGCTAAAAAACTGTGTACTCGTAAAAATTCTAACACTTCTGAGAAAAAAGTTTGAAATGGCGTGCTATAGATATGACCGATACTGTACATGTAATTTAATTATGGTAATAATCACCATTCGAACACTTCAATAACCATACGATAACACTTACATATGTAGTATGTAATACAATAATCCAAATCATTGAAGTTGATGGTATAGTTTCATATGGATTTTTTCATTTGTATTTCCAACCCAGTATTAGTTTGCCAATATGTGAATATCTCGCATTCAACAATTAACAAAACAGTTAACCTTAATGACAATTCAAACACATTATCCTTTAGAGGAGCACTTAGCATTGTCCATTTACAAAGAATGCTTACATATATAAGCTCAGTTGTCTCAGGCATTGTTCGTGTATGTTGCATTTACTGTCGCTTTGCGTGAATTTCATTCATTTCAATGTCAATTGGTAAATTAAACAAAAACTATGCAATCAAGTAATTTAGTATTCGGCGATTATTTTATTCGCTTGAGTAGACGCTAGGAGGGATTGGTAACTTTTTTATCGGTATTAGCATAAAACAACTCGTGCAGATATCGAGATTCTGTCTGATACATACATATGTATGCACTTATATATATGCATACCTTCATATGTGTATAATATATGTATGTATGTACTGATGAAAATATGCTAAACCGTTGCAACTGCCCAACTGATAAAACGTTGCTAGAATTTCACACCGAACGTGATACTTTAATAATTTGCTCAACATTGCGGTTGTGATTGCAACCCGAACAAGGCCGTACTTTTACGATTTTAGTTTGTATGTATATATGTATCAGTATTTAGACAACCGGGTATAAATTTCCAGCGAAAACTGCTGCACATACCTGGTTGACTTGAGTTTTACACAACCAAGGTTTGTTATCCAACCATAGGAATTGTAAAATCGAACTCCTTAACGATTCAATGAGACATTAATATATGTATCTGTGGCATTTTATTAAAACGTTATTCTAAATTGGCCATTTTCCAATTTTGAAGGGCAACTCATTGTTTTTTAATTTAAAACCAAACCCTCTAAAGTCACTTAAGTGGTGTTGATAAAATACCACAGATAAACATAATTCCAAACTAACTTTTTTAGAAACTGTTCTCTTTATTGTTTTATAATTTAATTTCGTTAATGAACTCTTTTTGTCTTATTGAAAGATAACTTTCACATTAGCATATTAATAAATTCAGATGAATCAACTATGTAATATAAAAAGTTAGACATTTAAGCCTTGTATGCCTGTGTTCTAGTTATGTAAATCATTAACACGAAACCAAAGAGACGAACTTAAGATGTTGCTGCATAAACGTCTTTAAGTAAACTTTAGTATATAAGGTTTATTTTCCAAAAAAGAGATTGTGCTCTCACGTGAATTGAACAGAATAGAATATGAATGCGTTTTAGTAAGCGTGTTTGGCAAGTTTTAAAAAAATATAAAACAAACATAAGACCTACACACACTGCTTCGCACATGAATCGTATCGATGGTAATGGGAAGAATTTTAGAGTACTATTCAGACTTAAAAATAACTTGTATTTATCGAAAACTAATAATTCTCAAATTTCGCATACAAATAGGAAAAACAATAAACATACGTTAAGCGATTATGCGTTTTAATTTGAGGTGATTCTTTTGTTGGTGTAACTGCTTTAAGTTACAGTCTAGTTAAGTCTAATCATCACCAGCGGTACGTTTCACTTTTCGCTGCTTAGGGCTCTGACCCTGCTTTGGGCTGCTCTGTTTGCCTGGCTTTGGAGAAGTTTTTAGTGCCTTGGATTTAGGTGGCGATTGCTCTGAAATATAATAAAATAGAAACATTTAAGATTATTTCGAATACAAAGTGTAAACAAACAATATAACTTACGCAGCACACGCAATGTTTCTTGTGGCAGCCACTCATATTCGATGTTGCTGTCGTTAGAAGTGCCTGTTTCGATTGTCTTTTTAGCGGCAGCACGCTTCCTCTTGCCCGAAGAGCCTAGGAGGTATTGCTGACCGATGACCAGCAACAGTACAACAATACCAGCCAATAGCACGTACAAGAAGAACGTTTCACCATCCAATCCTTCATCTATTTCGGAAATCAACACTGTTTCATTGAAAACTGCTTCGCTGAATTGGCCTCCAAGGGAATCACGATAATTCAAAGCAATATTTAAGCCAAATGGGCGGCCAGCGAATGTGTCGGATGGCAGGAAAGAGTAAGCAACCGTAGCCTCCGAACCAGGTTTTACTTCACGATTGTATGCGACAGCTGAGAAGTTCTGTATGTGATAGTTGAAGTCCATGGGATAGCGGAAAGAAGCTTCCACGGTTTCGATGACAAAATCATTTTTGCCTTTATTTGTGAAACCAATAAGGAATTCAACGGGTTTGCCACCTGGTAAATCTAATTGTTGTCCAGCCGTATACAAGGGCTTCGTGAAAAGCAAAAACGTGTCGGCATAAGGAGAAGTGGTCGATGTAGAATCAGGGTCTTCATCTGCTTCAACGTCCTCACCGGTCACGGCGCCATCTTCGGCCTCCACATCTACGAGGTCATCCTCCGCTGAGCCATCAGCAAACGCCACAAATTTGTGTTCTATAAAAAGGATATTACATTAATGGTATGTACATTTTTTTAAAACCGTATAATAAATTATGTTGTTGTATATATATAATATTTAAACAAAACACTTGAGTTACGATTTTATTGCCAAACCTTACAACAGTGCGTTTCGGCCAGCAATCGTCTGCTGCCACGTCGATGGCTTCCCCCACCCCGCAGCACCCGACAGCAAACACATCTTATTATTTACTCATTTTGTGAATTATACTTACGCGCATTAAATGTACAAATAAGTGCTGGCAGTACCAGCAATAAAATTAGTAAATTGCTTTTCATTTTTATTTATTTTCCGTGGCGAGACTCAAATTGGAAACCTAATTCGAGAGGTGCGGCAAACACGGCCAATACGTTTGACAGAAAGAAAATGTTTAGCAGCAAAGCAGTGAACAAACCGAACAACGACGATCAACACACGAAATTCATCGCTCAACTTTCACTTGTCAAATTTGCTAAACTCTACACAGCTGTTACGTGGTGCGGCTTGTTAACGAAACTCTACACGATAATATGACACTGGAGAGATTCACGGAGGCGTTCTGAAAGCAATAGCGGAATAAAGCGGCCCTTGGAATATTTCGATTGTGGCCGTAGCGATCGCAAAGGCAAAGAATTCCATTTGTATTCTTATGGACGCTCACACACATATGTCAAAACTTGTCGTTCCTATGCGAATGCTTTTCCTACGCACACAGTTGAGTGTGAGCTTGAAAAATAGGCATATTATGCATTTTAAATTAGTTTTTATTCTATAAATCTGAAAGATATTTTATTTCTCTATCTTTTGCTATCAACTGTTGCAAAAAGTTAAGTAATAACGAAGATGTTGGTCAAAATAAAAAGCTCACGCTCATGTTCGCATTGAACTGTATAGCAGGCTTAATGAATGGATGTTCTGTTTACGTTCTTTCTAACGAGTTGTCCCTTCTTATAAACTTACCTTCTTTGGCATAACTTAACTACTACTCAAATCGTCCAACTGGTTGGCGCGTTTATGGAGAATTTCGTTAAGTTTCGACTGATTGGCCGATAAAGCAATGCGTGTGTAGGACTTTTTAGTTGTGGACGGAAAATCTCAGAGGTGCTGCCAAGTTCTAAAATTCGTGCAAATTTATCGAAAGTTAACGANAAAAATCTTCAATTTTTACAAAAAAATATGGATAAACCAGTTGTGTGGGCTCGTGTCATGAAAGTTCTGGGACGTACTGGTTCTCAGGGCCAATGTACACAGGTGAAAGTTGAATTCATCGGTGAACAAAACCGTCAAATCATCCGCAACGTCAAAGGACCCGTCCGTGAAGGTGATATTTTGACCCTGCTGGAATCTGAACGTGAAGCTAGAAGACTTCGCTAGTCGAGCAAGGAATGTGATGAGAGATCGTTGGTTCATTTATTAGTTGGTGAGTTATTTCAAACATTATCCAAACTCCATTACTATGTACTAATAAGTATTGTTTTCTGATTACAGCTATATATGCCATTTTGTCGGATGAAATGATCTTCAATGAGATATTAATTACATACTTGAAGATGAATAAACAGGTCTTTTAGTATAAAACTGTATTTTTGTTTCAAAAATATGTGGACTATATTTATGACGAAAGAATAGTGTTTACATACTGACCGTAATTAAGACTGTAAACAGAAGTTATGAAAGAAATATTCCGCATACAATTTTTTTGATGCCGAGAGATAGCAATTGCAATTTCCTATTATTGGCACGTCGGTTTTGGACGTAAAAACTTGCAATAGCTTAGACCTGTAAGTAAATATTCCTCGAAGTCTTCAGACAGCTCCAGTGATGCTTTATATTCCTCTAGAACTAACAAATCCAGCGGATCTAGTTGGTGGCTCAGGTACTTCAATTTTAAACTTAGGGCGTGCATATATTTAAACAAGTCATCTACCAATTCTATAAAAAACGCTAGTGGCCTGTGAAATGTGTCACCTAGTATCAGTGGCGTCTCCATTGTCAAATCTAGAAGTTTGTGCAGTGAATTGAAAACAATGCATTCTTGACGCAGCTTTTTCAGGAAATCTGAAATACAGCAACTGTAGGAAAATATTAGGAACATATTTTTTCCAACATATAATGGATAAATATTTATATACTTAAAAACTCACTTGGAAGAGCGTAGCTGGCGA